TAAATATATCTATTACTATTGCTTCTACGTGCTCATCGTTCAATAATAAATAAAGTTGTAGGAAAATCAATATAATTAACATATGTTGAAAGTCAAGTAAATGAAACAATACGAATAAACAGTAGAAAACCAAATGCATATAATAAATCATCATCCATACCTTCGATAAACGACATTTTCTATATTTATGTATAAATATTGAGATTAATCTATGTTAAGACAATAAAAGCTAATAGTCCCATAATACCTTAGCGTTGGAACGAACATCTGATTAACGATTCGGAACATTCTACTGATAATTTGATCTGCTTATGAACAAAGTTTTATGTTGGAATACTGATTTTTGATTTTTCAGTATATACTTAAAACTGAATAGAAAATTCAGTATGAAAAATTATGAATTGCTTGGAAAGTTTCATGAGAAGAAACTCTTCTAGGCTCTACTAGTCACACCGTGATATTTTAGCCTGTCAAATATTAGATTAAACGACATGTATCAATTCGGATGATTTCATTGTAAGAAAATTCGAGTGGTTAATTGAATTTTAAAACAACAGAGAACAATGACGTTCGATAGATGCCATTTTACTCAATAGGTATGCCATTTTTTTTCATAAGGATATCCAGTTGCAATCGGTTTTCTTTTAGAAAATAAAGTAGTGATTCCTTTCTTCGTTTTTTTTTATTCGTGTCGATTCTAATTCTCTTGAATAAATAACATTTATTCTTATTACTTCTGGAAGTAAAAATATTATTTGATTTTTAATCATTTAATTGAGAATGAAATGAAACATTTGCATCAACAGACTTAATAAACTGCGAGCAAAAGTTCATTTTTCTATAAAACATGATCTTACAGGACTGTTAAAGTGTAGAATATGAGTGTGAGTTGAAATCTTCTCCTTCTACATCTCACACCTACATTCACCCACAATCACACCCACACACCCATCCCTATGTGAACAATATGTGTCTAACTTCAAGCGATGGAGTACATATTTGAGTAAATATTTAAAAAAAATGTGATTTGGACACAATAAGTTTTGAAATTGCATAACAATCTGCATACGCATGTCAAACATTTGACGACGATAGAAGCTCGATGAAAGAAAGAATTGAAAAAGATTTTATCTGTGTGTAGTTACTATCAGCAGTACACAAATATCACATTATTTTTTCTTTTTATGATTCGTTTAGTCGTATTTTATTTATTGATGGACGTAATTCTTCTACCATAGGAAATTAATAATGGCAACAATGAATTTATCTAATTTTATTGAGACTGCTTTGACTACATGCGATAGTATTGTGATCTTCAAACAATTTCTGTCGAAAGATCAAGGTTCATACAAGCAAGAATTCGACTTGTTATCACAGATTCTAGAAGAGATTGACTATATATTAAGAACAAATCCTAATTCTGATTTTCAAGCCTATTCATCATTTTGGAGCTCATGGTTTTCTGCATTACATCAAACATTTGATCAATTAGCAGATCTTTTAACTAAAAAAATCAAGAAGAACAAAAAGTCCCTTGATAAAAATATACATAGTCAAATTCAAGAATATCAGCAACAATTCACTGCCCTTATTGACAATTACAAGATCCGTTCACAAACTGAAAGTAAGGAATTAAAAGCATTACGAAAAACATAAGGATGGTTAATCAAGGTGGGTGCAGGTGGATGTGGATTGAGTGTGAATTCCATTTTCACAAACACTCACTACACACACACTTACTCACACTCTACATTCGCACCAACATCTATTCAGAGCTTGACTCACCCACACAGCCTATTTCTAGATGCTTAGTTGGGTGTACATATATATATATATAACACATTTTTTTCCTTTATTGAGGGATCATCAATAAAAGGATGTCCAGATAAAGAGTGAGGAGTGATCGTAATTCGTCAATAAGATTTTCGCCTTGCAACTAAAGTCTTATTAGTAAAATTTCAGAACCTCTGCAAGGGGCAATGACAAACATTTTCGGATATTCAGAGATTTACTATGTATATTTCTAATATTTTCTGACAATTTTTCACAAAATTTTCAAGCCTAGCTTGTTTGGAAGACTATGATCAGAAACGAAACAGACCGGATGAATTAGTTGAATATGACATTTTGAAAAATTATACTACATAAGTAGCGAGCTATTTTCTTTGGTAATGATATGAATATTACTCCAGTTTTTACTTTCATTTTTATATTGACATCTATTTAATTACTTCTAGTGTTTCTTACTTATTAAAGTTAAATGTATCTAGAAACCAAAATACTTTACGATAGGTTACTGATGTGTTCGTTGCTTATGAAATGCATGCTTATTCAATTTGATTCTTGATATGTTTCTTTGACGAACTTTCATATTAAAAAAAAAACAAAAAGAGTTGTTAACGTCATACTGTGAAATTTCCAAGCAGCAAAAACATTTTCAAAAATGTGTTTGAACACAAAAAAAAGGGCAAAATGTGAACAGTTTTTCGTTCACAGTCGGCAACCACGATTGTAATCCAAACACGTTCATTTTTTGCGGATTTTATAAATCTTTTTTTTGTGCGTTTAAACACGTTTTTGAAAATGTTTGTTTCCTTCGGTTAAAATAGAACATACGGTGTAGCTATTATTATTAACTATGTGAAGATGTGGATTCACGAATCATAATGAGACATGATTGATATACAATATTTGATGATTTCTGACTAGCGTCTGCTACATTCTGTGATGTGGAGGAGCATTGCTAAGACGTCTGTGATAAAGAAGAGATGTTGCTAAAATACCAGTCATTTCTGTTGGAAGAAGGGATGGCGAAAGAAGAATTCATACTTCTACTTCTACATTTTGTCATTCATTTTAAATTTTGTTTCACAAAAGAAATAATATAATTCAACTAAACAGATTTTTTTTAGCAAATTTCTTCTAAAGACCGAGAAGTTCAATAAAGATGATCGCGCAAGAAGGACGTATCAACAAACCCAATGCATACCTGGACGCTTTTTACGAATGATTCTTTAGCTGTTCCATGGTACATATGGGTGTATACCAGTAATATTAATGAAGCAAGCACAGATGCTGAAGTAAATCTTGTTCTTTACGGTCATAATGGAAAGTTTGACAATATTAAATTACGAAGTAAATCTAATGCATTTGAAGCTGGTCAATGTGATGAATTTAAAGTCGATATAGTTGATGTTGGTACACCATTTAAATTACGTGTCAGTTATGATGATAAGAAATTTTTTTCACCATGGCATCTTGATCGAGTATGAAGAAAAAACAAAAAAAAAAAGAAAGTATTTCTTTTTTTTCTTTGATTTCAAAATATATTTAGATTGAAATGGAAGATCTCAAAACAAAGAAACAATATAAATTTCATTGCGGAAGATGGTTATCAAAATTACATGATGATAAACAAGTTATACGAGAATTACCAGCTGAAGGTCCAGGAATATCAAAACTCTTACCTGTTGTTAAATATATGGTTAATGTATATACGGGAAAGAAAACAAATGCTGGAATAGATGCAAATGTTTTTATTAATATTTTTGGTAAATATGGTGATACAGGAGGTTAGAAATTCGATATGAGTTTAATTATTCTTTTTTTTTTTAAATAAATATTTTTTATTTTTATTTTGTCAGAACGTCCATTAGAATATTCATTAAAAGATGGAAATAAATTTGAAAGAAATAAAGTAAATATTATTGAAATAATATTTTAGAAAATATTTTCATTTTTTTATTTTCTAGATTGATAGTTTTATTATCGAAGCTGTTTCATTAAAACAAATACGAAAAATTCGAATTGGTCATGATGGATCTAGTTAGTTCATTAATTAAAATATTCTTCTTGTTGTTTTTTTTTATTTTGTTTGTTTTATTTAATATAATTATTAAATAGATCCAGGTGCTGGATGGTTCTTAGATAAAGTTGTTGTTCATCCTGAAGATCAACATTATGAATCAGCAACATTTGGATGCAATAGGTATATGAACTAAAAAA